GCCGCTCAAAGATGAGTCCGGCGGAGGGGGCGGCACCGCGGTGCCACCGCGCCGGGAGGCCGCCTCCGGGGAGCTCCGCGACGGGACCGAGCGTGGGTCTGGTCCTCGCGTACACTCGGCTGGTACCCCGGGTTCTGAGGCCGACAGAGAGAGCCCCGGGGCCACGTCCACCCCTCGGAGCGGCCCCCAGGGGCAGTCTCAAGGGGAGGCCCGTTTGTCGGATCCCCAGGGACGAGCCGCTCCCCCGGACTTGGGGGAGGAGCGACGGGGAGGGGGCGGAACAGAACTGGGCCCCCCTGCTCCTCCTCGACCTCGCAATGGCTATCAGCCCCACCGGCCTCCCGGGGGTGGTGGGGGCAAAAGGAGAAATAGCTGTAACGTTGGGGGAGGTGGTGGAGGCTTCAAACATCCAGCATTCAAGAGGCGCAGGCGGGTTAATTCGGACTGTGACCCTGTGTTACCCTCCAACTTCCTCCTGGGGGGAAATATCTTTGATCCACTGAACCTGAATAGTCTCCTGGATGAGGAAGTGAGCCGAGCACTCAATGCGGAGACCCCTAAGTCATCCCCACTTCCGGCCAAGGGGCGAGATCCAGTGGAGATCCTCATCCCCAAAGATATTACTGACCCGCTCAGTCTCAATACTTGCACTGATGAGGCCCAAGTAGTTCTTGCTTCACCACTCAAGACTGGCCGGAAGCGCCATAGACACCGGGGACAGCACCATCAGCAGCAGCAACAGCAGCAGACAACCGGAGGGAATGATAGCCAGTCTGCACTGCCCACAGCCCCCCTAACTCCCTCACCCCATGGGGAGGGCACCACACAGCCACAGCGGCCTAGGGGCCAGAACCGGGAGGCCCCGCAACCCTATGAACTTAACACAGCCATCAACTGCAGGGATGAAGTCGTGTCTCCCCTTCCGTCTGCCCTGCAGGGTCCCTCAGGCTCCCTTTCAGCCCCAACTGCCTCAGTTACCTCTGCACCCTCATCTTCGTCTTCCTCCTCACGGCATCGAAAACGTCGCAGGACTTCCAGCAAGTCAGAGGCTGGGGCTAGGGGTGGAGGCCAGGGTCCCAAGGAGAAAAGCCGAGGGAGCTGGGGAGGCCGCCACCAGCAGCATCCACTACCTGCAGCAGTCTTCAAAAACCAACAGCTCAAGTTCCAGTATGGGAATTATACCAAGTACTATGGGTACCGCAATCCTTCCTGTGAGGATGGGCGCCTTCGGGTCTTAAAGCCTGAATGGTTTCGTGGCCGTGATGTACTAGATCTGGGCTGCAATGTGGGCCATCTGACCCTGAGTATTGCCTGCAAGTGGGGTCCATCACGTATGGTGGGCCTGGATATTGATGCACGGCTCATCCACTCTGCCCGCCAAAACATCCGGCACTACCTGTCAGAGGAGCTGCGTCTCCCACTTCAGACTTCTGAGGGGGGCCCAGGAGCAGAGAGCGAGGAGGGGACCACCACTGTCCGAAAGAGAAGCTGTTTCCCAGCCTCACTGACAGCCACCCGGGGCCCCATTGCTGCACCTCAAGTGCCCTTGGATGGAGCAGACACATCAGTCTTCCCCCACAATGTTGTCTTCGTCACGGTAAGAGGGTTGAAAGCTCTTGGAATTGGGGCCAGGTATGAAAATGAGGTTAAACAGTAATGTGATGGGATGATACAACCCAAAGGAATTTCTGAGCATTTGCTCAAGGGGAAGGGTCTGTATGGTGAGCGAGAGCCTCTTTCTCCTCCAATAATCTAAAAGGTAAGGAGCTCTCTGCCTTGGAATTTTCACTTGGCTGTGATCCAAACCAGTCCACCTTCCTGAGGAATGCCACTGCTGCCACTTGGAAATTCGGTCCAGAAGAAAGCTTGTCCTCAGACTAACTGAAGGAGCCTGAGTGATGGGTGGCAGACATGAATTGTCTTGGGAGATGAGACTACAGTAGTGGCAGATCAATATTTATAGTTTCTGCCCTTTGATAGGGAGTTTATTTGCATTTGCTGTTTTTGGTTTCCTAGTCACAATTGCTTGCAGAGTGTCAGTGGTCAGGGATCCAAGTGGCATGGCTTTAGATCATGTACACATTGACCCTAGATAGTGGAGGGGAAGAGTCAGACTCTCCTTGCAGAGAGGGGAGTACAGACCTGGTGGTGTCTGTTCTCTGGTTGCACATAGCTCCCGATAAAGTCACTCCAGCTAGGCAATAGAAATATTTAGCAGTATGTTGGAAGAATGAACTTTCCAGAGGGGATGATGAGCATATCTAGAAGAGGCTTCCAAAGAGATTTGGTATATAGCTCTTTATTTCTGTTGGGGAAAGGAAACAGTAGGCTTGAAACTTTGCCAGCCTCAACTACAGGTAAGAAATCAGGCATGGGTTGGGACTAGCAGTTAGCATAATGGCTATGTCGCTGGACGCCCATGTAGTCGACCGTGGTTTGAGTCCCGGACCCGGTGGCTTAAACTCACGCCGGGCACATGTGCATGCGTGCCCAAGATCCCAAGAGGAGAATGGAGAAGAAAGGATTGCGGCATGGCCATCCCCCCTGGGGGGTGGTTTCTCACTTTCTGTCTGTCTCTTTCTGGTAAGCACACGCACCCTATAGCTAAAAAAAAAAAAAAGAAAAAGAAATCAAGCATGGGTCTCCCTTTGAAACTGGAGTGCCCTTGCATAACCTTTTTTTAAAGAATTATTTAATTTTATTTACTGTTATTTTTTAATTTGACCAGAGAGAGAGAAAGTGAAAAAGCGAGAAAGCAAGCTGCCAGGTCTGGGACTTGAACTGCAATAGGCCATGTGGGAGTCCAGTACCTTAACCACCATGCCACCTGCTGGCCCCAACCCTTGCATGACATTGAGTCTCTCTGCTTAATATTTATAGATGGGAATAAACACAGAACAGGGTCTTAGAAGAACCCCAGCATTCTCTGCAGTTTGCCCCTATCTTCAAAGATTTCATGGATACTTTATTCAATTTAAAATTAACGTAGGCTCGGGACCAGTAGTTAGTGTAATGGCTATGTTGCTGGACTCCCATGTAGTCGACCGCGGTTCGCATCCTGGACCCAGTGGCTTAAAACTCATGCCGGGCGCGTGGGCGTGCATGCCCAAGATCCTGAGAGGAGAATGGAGGAGAAGGGATTGCAGTGTGGCCTTCCCCCCTGGGGGGGGGGGGATTTCTTGCTTTCTGTCTGTCTGTCTGGCGAGCGCATGCGCCCTATAGCAAAAACCTCTCAAAAAAAAAAAAAATTAACGTAGGCTTGGGGGCAGCAGGTGGTGTGATGGTTAAGGCACTAGACTCTCATAGGGTTAACTGCATGTTCAAGTCCTAGACCTGGTAGCTTACTTTCTCACTTCTCCTTTCTCTGGTCAAACTTAAAAAAAAATATTTTATTAACCTAGGCTCCTTTTGTATGCGTGTTTAATTTACCACCAGTAAGAAGCAGAAGCAGG